GGCCTGTTTCAGTAAGGAGGTTCAACCAACTCGGAGTTTAAACTTGAACTCTGAGTTAATTTATTGAGACATTAAAAAAATCAGAGTTTTCGGTTTTAGAACAGCACATCTGAGTTAGGTCAATCAACTTTGTGTAGACCAACGCAGAGTTAAGCACGTGCACCGTGACTATAAAAAGGCATTATCAATGGAGCGCAGATATTAGGAGTGACTATGGCAACATCTTATAAAAGAGATCAGCATTTCTTTCTCCAGCTGAACTTGATGTGCTCATGCAAAGTTATAGCAAATATGAGCTTATATATTTAAAAAGAAGCAACCATCAGTGAAACAGAGACAGTTAGCGTGGGAAAACAGCTGCTCAAGTACATTTAAAGTATTTAAATATTTAAGTATAATAAAAAAGTAATGTTATGCATGACGTTTATAATTTTTTTCTAAACTTTTATACACGTTTATCAGTTTAATAGATTTAAAAGTGCACTTGTGTGTCTGCCTTTTTATTGATCAAGTGGTAGAGGTTGATATGACATTTAGAAGGTAAGCAGTAATAAACAATAATTTTTAGAAAGAATAATAATCCCATTAATCTAGTTACAGTACATTCTGAAGGTCAGTGAATTTAAGCAAATTATTTATTTAAAAAGGACAAGCAATTCTCGTACGTGACTTTGTTCTGTGTGTGACTAAAATGTAGGCAATAGTTGTTTCCATCCAAATATATTACATAAATTTATGTGCAAAACTAGAATATTGTATAAAAGATGTGAATAAAGCAGCGTTTCCATCCAACGAGTCAAAGAGAACAAAATTGTCCCTTCCTGAGAACCTGGCGCCAAATATCAACAGTAAAAACAGAATTTACTGTGGTAGAAGAAGCTGCATCAATTAGGCTATTTATTTATTTAATTAATGTACTTGCGCCTCGATCATGTCAGAAGACAATGCTGACACACAATGATCACGTGGGGGCGTTTGAAGCCATGAGACGTGGAGATCTTGACACACTCCAGACGCTCGGAGGTAATTAATAATATACACTAATACTGAAACAGTTAAGGCATTTTAAAATGACTGAAACACTATTTAAGATGTTCTGCAGTGTGCTCAGTCTGCTGGTTTGTCCATTCACACACATTTTCATCATCATATGATGACCTTTTTTAATGCACATACTGTAATGTGTTCAGTAAAAGTGTTTCCATCATAGTTATGCCCACATTTTCTATCGAATAAAAGTTTATCCTACTCAGTTATGCGCGTGTTTTTTATGCATATTTTCCAAAGTTATGTGCATCATGATATTTCCATCAATCGTTTTTATGCACATATTCAAAACGAGCATTAAAATAGGTGGGTGAAAACGTAAGACTAAGGCGAGAAATACTGCTTCGTCTTTAAAAAAGGGGAGGAGACCAACAGAAACTCTGAGTTTAGATAATAAAACCTGCCCCTGACCAGGTTAGGTTCACAGATTAGGTAACTGACAGATTAGGTAACAGGTTAGGTAACTGACAAATGAGTTAAAGTTACCTCCCTTCCAGAAACAGGCTTGATTAAAGTTTTCACTTAACCTCCTTTCTAAAACAGGCCCCAGGACATTTAAATTTCAAGATAACAAAACGACAACTGAAAGGTTTGGTTGTAGAAAAGTAGAGTATGGAGAGGTAGAAACTTTGTTGTGCCTTAAGCTTACGGAGTCTAACTGGTCATACAGGTAAAAAAGTGCTATGCATCTATAATTTTATATAGCTACAGTAGTTATAACTAAAATAATTTTAACTCTAAAACAGCCTATTTCTTCTGGGTAATACATACATTATGAGAAGCTGTGGTGAGAGATTGAAATAATGAGACTAATTTATTGGTATTGTTCTGAAAAGTTATTTGTTGTGAATGTTTATATCATTTATCGTTTATATGTTGATACAGTCTGTCTAGCTGACAAGCACCACTTAAACATAGCATGGCATCCCTTTTTTGAGAAACCACTCAAATGCAGGTAAAAGTTGATGTATTTCATATATTTATAACTATTGAAGTTAACATATTTTGTTAAAAAGTTGTTAGCTGATCAGGGGCCTGTTTCAGTAAGGAGGTTCAAACAACTCGGAGTTTAAACTTGAACTCTGAGTTGATTTACCGAGAGATTAAAAACTCTGAGTTTTCGGTTTCAGAATAGCTGATCTGAGTTAGATCAATCAACTTTGAGTAGACCAACTCAGAGTTAAGCGCGCACACCGTGACTATAAAAAAGGCATTATCAATGGAGCGCAGATATTATGAGTGACTATGGCAACATCTTAAAAAAAAGAGATCAGCATTTCTTTCTCCGGCTGAATTTGATCTGCTCATGCAAAGTTATAGCAAATATGAGCTTATATATTTAAAAAGAAGCAGCCATCAGTGAAACAGACAGTTAGCGTGAGAAAACAGCTGCTCAAGTTAATGTGTAATTTTTAATTTAAAGTATTTAAATATTTAAATATAATATAATAAGTAATGCAATGTGTGACGTTTCTAAACTGTTTCTAAACTTTTAAACACGTTTATCAGTTTTAATAAATTTAACAGTGCACTTGTGTGTCTGCCTTTTTTATTGATCAAGTGATAGAGGTTGATATGACATTTAGCAGGTAAAGTGCTAAAAATACTTTTTAGAAAGAATAATAATCCCATTAATCTAGTAACAGTACATGTCAAAGGTTAAGCTAATTATTTATGAAAAAAGGAAAAGCCATTCTCGTACGTGACTTTGTTCTGTGTGTGACTAAAATGTAGGCAATAGCTGTGTTTCCATCAAAATATATTACATAAATGTGTGCAAAACTGGAATAACGCCTAAAAGATGCGAATAAAGCAGCGTTTTCATCCAACAAGTCAAAGAGAACACAATCGTCACTTTCTGATTAACTTGCGCCAAATATCAACAGTAAAAACAGAATTTACTGCAGTAGAATAAGCTGCGCCGATTATTTTTTTATTTAATTAATGTACTTGCGCCTCAGAAGACAATGCTGACACACAATGAACACGTGGGGGCGTTTGAAGCCATGAGACGTGGAGATCTTGACACGCTCCAGACGCTCGGAGGTAATTAATAATATACACTAATACTGAAACAGTTAAGGCATTTTAAAATGACTGAAACACTATTTAAGATGTTCTGCAGTGTGCTCAGTCTGCTGGTTTGTCCATTCACACACATTTTCATCATCATATCTAACAAACCTTTTTTTAATGTACATACTGTAATTTGTTAAGTGTTTCCTTCGTAGTTTATGCACATCTTTTCTTATCAAATAAAAGTTTAACCTACTCAGTTATGCACATGTTTAATTGTGCGTATTTTCAAAAGTTATGTGAATCATGACGTTTCCATCAATCGTTTTTATGCACATCACCAAAATGAGCTCTAAAATAGATGTGCGGAGACGTAAGGCTAAGGCGAGAAATACCGCTTTATCTTTAAAAAAAGGGGAGGAGACCGACAGAAACTCAGAGTTTAGAGAATAAAACCTACTCCGGACCAGGTTAGATTCACAGAGTAAGTTACCACGGTAACTGACTCTGAGTTAAAGTTACCTTTCTTTCAGAAACAGGCTTGACTTACCCTGCTTTCTTGAGTTTAACAAACCTGCCATTTTGAAACGGGAAACCCAGTTTCTCTCATTTTAGGGTTAAAATACTCTGAGTTTTCACTTAACCTGCTTTCTGAAACAGGCCCCATGTCTAGGCAGGTTTTTATTCCCTTTTTTGACATCACACTTGTGGGCTAGGTTGTATGTCCACCATAGGCAGCAGCAAGATGCTCCTTGGTGAATTGCCAAAAAAAATCAAATGTCAGATTATTTCATGTTTATAGGGGAAAGGTTATGACTTAATGTGTAGTAAGGTTATTTATTATATTATTTTTATTAGGAGGAAGCATAATGCAATTAAAAAAAAATCCTTAAAGAAAAAAAAAAAAAAGAATTTGACACTCTGGTGTTAACTTATACTTTCTCAAAGGGAAGGATTCTCCCCCCCACCATAAGACACAGCAGCCCAATTTATCAGATTATAAATTTATACAACAGCAGGATTTATTAGGATTTTGATATAGATAAGATGTGGTATGTGATAGACTTGACTTATACCTAAAAGTTTGTGATAGCATTTAAGGACAATAAAAACAATACAAAGTAAACCGTTTAAAAAATGTAGATTTATTAACAAAGAAAATTTCAATAGAAAATTCAAAAAGTAATAATCCCCCACACCAAAATACTCAAAAGCCATTAGACCACAAGAGATACTGACATTCTTCATAATCTGATTCCTCCAATTATGAAAAAGATCAATGAGAAAATTTTTTTTTTTGAATGATGAGCATAACAAATACAAACAAATAACAACAATGAACCAGGAAACTAAAGATAGCTAAAATGCTAAATTTTGTCCAAGGAGCACAGGAGAACAGAGCACTGATCCTTGTGTTTTACATCTAAATATTACAGATTTGATTTGATTTATTTATTTCGAACAACAAAAAGAAATAAAATCAAAGCACAAAACAGTTCTTTAAAGAAAATACATTTCATCATAGTCTAAATAAAGCGGTATGAAGCACAAGCCTATTATTTCCCCCACCTCATTACCACTTACATCATTCGTCTATTACTTCAAATTATTTCTTCTCTTGTCTCTTCTTTTTACCTTAGACTTACATTACCTTTACATGAGAAATATTTAATCCTTTTGGCATTTTTGACGTATTGTATGGTTTATTAACCATTTGTTATTTTGACATATCATAACATAGACCCCCTAAAAAAATACATTATTGCAAACAGCCATAAACAGAAATATTTTTTTTCTTTTTTAATCACCTCTATTCATCAACATATTTCTTTGATCATTTATTTTAAAATTTCTATACATTTTCCATATTTTTACAATCACCTTTAATAATAATTGTATTCCTTTAATAATATATATTCATTCAATTTGGTAAAATTGATTAATATCCTGACATTGGTCGAGAATCTGTTATAAACTGTTCCATAATTTCACCGCACATACTCAATTTAAAAAAAAAAAAAAAATCCTTATTTACAACCTCCTAATAGTTTGTTCTTCTCTCAGATACAATGTTCATATGTAAATATCTTTGTCTCTGCGTGCTCACACTCTAGACAACTGATAGATTTAAAGACATGTCAGTGTTTAAACAGATTTTTGTCAAACAAATTCTGGAATTTTCTTATTTTCCTTGACTAGCTGAGGATTTTTCTTATATGTCTTTCATGTATCCCAGAGCTCTTTGTTTTCCTTCTCCTGCTCTTCTCTTGATGTCTTCCACTGTTTTGACCTTTTCAGGCTCATTTATTTCTTTCAGCTTCTTAATCAGAAAATCAATGTGATGAAGTGTGATCAGTGAATCAGTGTTGAGAGCAATCATCTCCAGAGAATTCACACAGTGAAAAGCCTCCATCACCAGCTTCACTTTCTGTGTCATTATGTCTTGTAGCTCTTTCTCCAACTTCTTAACATCAGACTCTTTGATGCTCTTTTTTTCTAAATATTTATTTTTTAATACTTGATTTATTGTTTTTTCTTTTCTTGTCTTTGTCACATATATCCTTGCTTCTTTGATGTGTTTGTTGTAGTGGCATCTGCACACTGTACAGTGATTATTTTCCATCACACTACACCATGAGACAGAGGTTACCCACCAGCAGCCAGGATAATGACAGTTCTTCTCACAGACAGTGCAGCACGTAGCCTCATAGGCTTTATTAAGATCAATATAAACCTTCTCTTTGTAGGTCACTTCAACTTCATACTCAAAGTTTTTATTATCTTCAACTTCTTTCTTGAGTTTCTCCAGTTCTCCTTGAGCTTGTTTCAGTTTATTTTGCTTTATTTCTATGTCTTGATCATGTAATTCTATTTTTGAAACATTTGCCTTTAACTGCTCCCGTTGTTTTAATACATTTTTAGTCATCTTCATGGGTTTTGGTTTTATTGTGTCAAAAAAACTGAAAAATCCTTTTATACCATTACTACTGAGGTTCCATGATTGTTCTTGGACCATCTGGTATTCTTCATGAAATGTCTCTCCTTGACAGTTGTCGAACAAGAAAAACACAGGCTGATTCTGTTCATCCACTGCACACTTGACATGAGCCTCTTTAACAGCCGTCAGGGCATCTATTGGATAAGCTCCACGTGAATATGTCAAGAGCAGGACAATGTTTTCAGCAATATCACTTCCAAATAAAGACTGAACAGCATCATATATATAAATTTGTCTGTTACAGAGTCTATTCTGGTTTGATTTGATCACCAGACACACTGCATCTAGTTCATTATCCCAGTCACCCAGACAACAGCATAAATTAAGCAAATTTATGGCAATCTCTTTGTCTTTCTGAACTCCACGAGTGTCTCCATATCCTGGTGTGTCGATGATTGTTAAATCCATTGGACTCTCTTCTAGATAAAACCCATAAACAGTGATGATGGAGGTCTGACTGTGAGCTGAAGACCGATCACTCTGATCATCTGTGATCTCAAACCAAACCTTGTCTTCTCTCTCAACACCCAGCATGTAGTTGACCATAGTGTTGATTAGTTTTGTTTTTCCTGTTCCTGTTTCTCCAACCATCAGAATAGTTTTATGTGGTTTGTTCTTGTCTCTCTTTCCAAAGATGAATCTTTTATATGGTTCAGATTTAGAGAGAGAGTCTTGGCTTGTTTTTACATGATATCGAGTAGGAATACCATCCTCAATTACATCACATTTAGTGATGATCACATCAAGTTTTCGTACTTTTGTTCCTAAATGGGCCATGTTTTGTCTGTATTTGAAAAACAAAATCACAACACAAAAGAGACATGTAAATATGTTCTTAAAAGCAAATAATGATACTTGATATATATATAATGATATATTATCAGTTTGCTAAGTTGTTCTTCCCAACACGAGGCCATGTAATTATGCATTTCTTTACCAGTATCAATATCTTCATCAAAATCAGAATATATCTGAAAATTATTTTTGAAATAAAAGTATGAAGTTCTATGTGTCAGATCAACAGACTACAAATCACAGGATGCACCTCAGCCTTCAAATATAGATGCTTTGGATTCCATATACCCTAATATACTTAACTGGTAGTAGTCTAATGCTATCATTACATGCTATCCACTTTATGTGCCCCATTTTTCTTTGTGCACTGTATAGGGGAAAAGTGTTAGTAGGAGGTATTTTTCAGTAAGTTTACAGTAGTTAAGACTACTAGTAGTTAAGTGTGTGTGTGTGTGTGTGTGTGTGTGTGTGTGTGTGTGTGTGTGTGTGTGTGTGATCATCAGGGATTCCAGAACAGGTGTGAGGTGCATGACGGGAAATGTAGTTTATAAAGTGACAGAATTGTAGTCTGGTGAAGGTGCTTATTTAACAGCGATCTACAAGCCTGGACAGCAGAGTGGATCATGTATGATTGACAACTGAGATAATAATTGCAGTAATTGTTGTCCTTTTTGTAATGCATTGTGAATTATTTTTTATATGTACTTATAATTAAATTATATTTATAAATAATTATTTTAATTTAATTTTATATCTGCCCTTAAAATTTGCACACACAGAATGATTTTGATTTTATACCTACTTTTCATTAGAATCTGTCATCATTTCAGGTTTGAAAGTCCTTTGGGATCCTAAGAAAATAATTAGTAAATGCAAATACACATTACATTACTTTTACAACAGTCAGTCAGTTCACAAACTATACATATTATATAAAAAATATACATATTATATAACAATATATTTTATGTATTACTTTATTGTTGTACTTCTACATGTACTGTACAAGCTTTAGTTATTAGGTAAAATCCACAAAATGAACAGTATACAGCACAATTTAAGATACAAAATACATTTCATCATTAAAGCACTACTCTGAAATACAGAGAATTCGTACAAGTAGATTTACGTAATTACCTGTTTGATCAAATGCCTCTTTGTCTAACTGACCTGCAGATCATATTGTATTTATACACTGGCCAACACCCCTTTTTAAAGGTCACATGATTTGCAAGAAATACAAGTCACTTCTGGCAAATGAAATACATGTAATGTAATGTGTATTTATATAGCGCATTTATAGTGTATGGCCATACACCCAAAGCGCTTCACAATCATTCAATTCAGCTTTATTTGTATAGCGCTTTTACAATATAGATTGTGTCAAAGCAGCTTCACATAAATGGTCATAGTAACTGGAACAGTGTAGTTCAGTTTTTAGTGTTTAAGTTCAGTTTAGTTCAGTTTAGCTCAGTTCAGTGAGATTTAATCATTACTGAGAGTTCAATCATGAGGGGGGTCTCTCCACACCACCACCAGTGTGCAGCATCCACTTGGATGATCTGACGGCAGCCACAGGACAACAGCGCCAGTGCGCTCACCACACACCAGCTATTGGAGGAGTGAAGAGACAGTGATAGAGCCAATTCGGTGGATGGGGATGATTAGGAGGTCATGATCGTAATTGCCGACAGAGGGACTTTGGTCAGGACACCGGGGTTACATGGATAGTAATTTCTGTTAAATAAAGAAAATATTAAGGAATGCTAACATAAAGCATGTATATTTTATTAAATTTGATTAATGGCTTTTGAGTAAATGTTCTGAACTTGTTGAAACATTATACCTGATTTTATAAAACAGAACTTGCATTGTACATAGAAGTAAGGTGACTGTGTAAAGCACAACACGTTTTCCTAATATTAATTGTAAGCTAATTTGTAGTAATTTGCTCACCACTAAAAAAATGTTGCATAAATTTAACTAGGAATCCATGGTTAATTTTTTTAATCAATTCATAGATAGCAAACAATTTAACAATTTCTTGGATCACATGACCATCAAAAAAATGGGTGTGGGCTGAGCTATAAATACAACTGTACCCTTCCTGTCTACATGTAGTCTGAACCTGAAGTTAGAAGAACTAACAGCTGATAATGTAAGTCAACTTTTAATACTCTTTAAGGTTGTGTCACTGAATGTTCTTGGCTTTGATTTTTATAGAATGTTCTTATTTGCACATTTTACAGCATTTTACTGATTATGCCTTGTTGTTTTGAATTTAATCTGTAATATATTTAATACATATATATATATTTTTTTTTAGCAACAATTAGCTCATTGACTGTGAAGACTACAACCTCCTCCAATCCATAGTCGTGATGGCAGACTTATTTGAAGGGTAGGACAACCAGCAACTTTAATGGACCATTATTAGACAATTTGCCTTTTAAAGTCTGGAATTGAACCAGATTTTGGTAAAAATAACAAAAACAATTCAAGCTTAAAAATAAAACAAAACAAAATGAGTTGTGTGTAATAACAATGGAATGACACAAGGACTACTGAAATGTGTTTAATACTTTATATAAAAGTTTTTTTTGGTGATGGCCGCTTAGAGACACCTCTCATATGGAGAAAGAAGTTACTGTACATGCTCATGGCTCACAGATTCAACAGAGTGTCAAAATCTTGATGGTTCTATGGGTCTTGTCAATCAAATCTGAGCTTTATTTTGTATTTTCTATTGGACTGGAGTCAGGTGATTGGCTGCGCCATTCTACAGCTTGATTTTTTTTTTCTCTGAAATCATTTGAGAGTGTCCTTGGTTGTGTTTTGGATTATTGTCTTGCTGAAATGTCCACCCTGGGTTCATCTTCATCCTCCTGCTAATGTAGATATTGGCCTGAAGCAGCTGATATTCATTTACACTGAGAAAGGGCAGAGGCTTGCTGAAGAATATCTGAGAGATTTCAGCTGCTGTCTGGGCTTTCACTGCTAAACTACACCACCCTTTTTTCATGTTTAATACTTTTTCCCTGAGTCATTTCATTTTGTCATGTATAACTTCCTTTGTAAACAAGTTAAATTTGTTTTCTTTGCATGTATGGATTTCTTTGGTTGTTACCAACATCCAGGAAAACTTCAAGTCAACAGCACCTAAAAAATGTACCTAAAAAATGATGACCAGTTCAATACTTATTTTCCCTGCTGTAAATATGGTATGAATGTTAGAAATTGTAGTATTTTTACTTTGTAAATTACTTAGAAAATAGAAACATTTGCAAATTTTTTTTAGAGACTAAATTGTAAAATTATGCAAACAGGGAAAAAATTATAACAAACAAATTATAAAAAAAAAGATTTACAAACATTGAAAATTACATGTTACGTCTTATTCATGGAAAATGATGAAAAAAAACATTAAGAGGCATTTAATTTAAAAACAACAACAACAATAGTAACATAATCAGGGTATGTACAGAACTTCTTAAGTTGAATTTAATACCTTTTACTACCATTTTTACTACCTTCAAAAAATTTTTACTACCAGCACGACTTGCACGAGCAGCAACTGTAGTGCCATAAATGTAATATATTTTTAAATGGAATAACATATAGCAGATAACATACATTTAGGTAAAGCAGAGGGATTTATCAAGGTGTCACTGTGGGCCTTTGTCCATAGTTATTTTTTTATTTTTTTTTTATCAATGTCATATGTGAATAGTTGCTCTTCTAAGAACAGTTCGGTGTGGTTACAGTTGTTTTTCCACTGAGCCCGGAATGACGCGGCACGATTACAAACCTTTCTTGGCACAGTTAAGACAACCGTGCTAAACTGTGCTGACAAATTCCATGTGTCAGGGCTCGAAAATAACTTTTTTACTTGGTAGCACCGCTTCTGCCAATTTAAAATATTTAGGAGCACCAGAAAAAATGTAGGAGCACCACCCAAAAATTTTGAACACCACTGCAAATTGTATATCAAGGGGTCAAAACAACATCAACTAGGACTAACAAAAAACAGAAACAACTATCTAACTAATTCGTTGATGACTTATTAAAAACTGTGCAAAACAAAGGTCTAATAATTATAAAATATTAATGATGACGATGATGACAATAATTCTAACAATGAATTATATTTGTCATTATCATGCTGCCCTGTTTGTGCTTTAATGTGAGTTATCTGCTATAAAATATCCTACTGTTACTTTATGAAAAATAAATTTATGGTTGGCATCAAACAAAAATTAGGAATTGCAGTAAAAAATGTTAATTTTGCATTATTGTTTTAATATGCATGTCAATTTATTAAATAATATTTCTGCTACAAAACAAACGAAATATTATATTAGATCATTCAATTCAAGGCTGAAAGCTGCAAAGCAGTCATCAGTAATAGCAAAATAATATACATATCAAGAAAGAAAGGACAAAAGGAAGAAAAGTCTCACTTCTACTCTTTAAAAGTTTTGGTTTTGGTTTGCGTCATTTTAAATGCTCAGTCTCATTATATGCGCTCATTTACAGTTTTCTGTGTTTTTGGGAAAAAAGCAGGCAAGTCAGCCGACCAGGACAGAGCAGGATTCTCGCGATGACCACCGGTGCAATATCGCTATTTGTGATGAGCCACAGATTCAGTGTAAACTCAGTTAAGGCGAGCTACTTTGGCGAGGCACGTGTGCAGTGTTAAATTTTACAGTTATAGCGAACATTTGCGCTGAACACGCAGCGAATAACGCGAGATTCAGTCATCTTCTCAGCTGGTGGATCAACATTCAACACATAATCGCTTTCATTGGTACTTTGCAGCGGATGCCCTTCCAGCTGCAACCCTTCACTGGAAAACACTCATACACTCTCATTAACACTCATACACAACAGATAATTTAGCTTACCCAATTCACATAGAGCATGTTTTTGGATTGTGAAAAAAACCGGAGCACCCAGAGTCTTTTTATAAAAATTAAATAAAAAACATAATATTTTTTAATCTCCAAACCTAAAAATATTTATATTATGTTACCTTTTTTTTTTTTAAACATTTACTGTTATGAATGCATGAATTTCACAATTGGTGATATTTAGTTGGAACGTCTCAATTTATAAAGGTAAACTGTTCATCAAATGTTTCATTTGCATATTTCTGAATATCTGTCTTTGTGTTATGCTCTTTGTTGCACTTTATAGACAAAGTACAAAATCGGAATTTCGCAAGTTTGATGCCATCCTCAAGCAAAGCAGTAAAACTAAAGATGGTTCACCTGATCTTTATCATCTGAAACCAAAGACAGACTGTCATGCTGAATCTGAACCATACAGAAAAATCACCTTTGGCAAAAGAGACCCAAAAAAAACCCTTAAAACTATTCTGCTGGTTGGAGAAACAGGAACAGGAAAAACTACCCTGATCAATGTGATGGTCAACTACATGCTGGGTGTTCAGAGAGAAGACAAGGTTTGGTTTGAGATCACAGATGATCAGAGCGATCGGTCTTCAGTTCACAGTCAGACCTCCATCATCACTGTTTATGGGGTTTATCTACAAGAGAGTCCAATAGATTTAACAATCATCGACACACCAGGATATGGAGACACTCAAGACGTTCATAGAGAGATTGCTATTAATATGCTTGATTTAAGTACATCCGAAAATGGCATTAATGAACTGGATGCAGTGTGTCTGGTGATTAAAGCAACTCAGAGTCGTCTTGATGACAGACAAATCTGCATATTTGATGCTGTTCAGTCTTTATTTGGAACAAATATTGCTGATAATATTGTCCTGCTCTTCACATTCTCTCGTGGAGCTATTCCTAAAAATGTCCTGACGGCTGTTAAAGAGGATCAAATCCAGTGTGCAGTGAATGAACAGAATCAGCCGGTGTATTTCCTGTTTGACAACTGTCAGTCAGACACTCGAGTTAAAGGATGTTCTGAGAAAGATGAAGCACAACATAAAATGCTGGAACAGTCATGGGAAATTAGTTTTACAGGAATAAAAAGATTTTTCAGCTTTCTTGAAAACATCAAACCAAAATCACTTAAGATGACCCGAGATGTGCTTGAACAACACATACAGTTTGAGAAGAATATCTCCAGCCTACAATCATGTGATCAAGAAATGGTAGAGAAGCAATCGGATCTGAGACAAACTCAAGATGATCAGGAAAAGGAGCAGGAATTTTTAAAGAATGATAAAAACGTTGAGTGTGAAGTTGAAGTGCAGTACAGAGAGTTAGATAAAGTTATTGATCCTGGTTTAGCCAGCAGTGTGATGTGCTGCATCAACTGTGAGGAGAACTGTCCTACTGAGGAATCATGGTCCATCAGTTCACCTTTCATATCAAAAAAATGTACTTCCACATGCTGCACACAACAATGCAAACACATAAAAGGAGTTACATATAAAACAAAGACAAGGATGGAGAAGAGGATAAATGAAGATTTAAAGAAGCAATATGAAGAAAAAATGAAACACATTTTGTCTCTAATCAAGAATCTGGAGAAAGAACTGCGAGACTTGGAGACACGACAAATAAAGCTGGTATTTGAAGCTTTTCACTGTGTGGACACTCTGGAGAGGATCGCTCTCAACACTGATTCACTGATCATACTTCAACATGTAGACTTTCTGATTGATAAGCTGAAGGAAATTGATGAGTCTGAAAAGGCCAAAACACTGGAAGACATCAAAAGTAGAGCAGGAGAAGGAAAACAAAGAGCTCTGGGATGGATTAACACAACAACTGGTTTGGTTTTAAATGGTAAAACATCCCTATTGGAATGATTTATGTTGTTATTGTTGAATGAACAAGAGAAGGTCAAAAATTGTGAGAAACTACATCACTTATGACTCCACAAAGCTTTTATTATGGCCATTGGTTTGGCTCTTTATCATGTATTTCTGAGTTGTATATTTTCATACTTAATTTTGAGAACATAATGCATGTCATTTACTTTAACATTTACTGTTTAACTCACTAGTAAGATGTAAACAGTGTATTTTTTAACACAAAATAATGGGTTAATATTCTAACAAAAAATATTACTTAAATATTATTACTTTTTTGTTTTTATGTTTGTTTGTTTTTCCATGCACCACACAAGAGATACTGTAGTACTGGTATGTAAGCATGCATGTTGGTGTATGTTGGTAAAAATCAACATTTAACTCAACGTGAATAAGGTTTATGCATATAAAATACACAATATTTTAATGTATAAAATGTTTGTTTGTGTACAATAAATTTAAAATACAATAAATGTTATGTATGTACAGTATAGGTCACAAGTTAATAGTTATGTCTTAATCTGATCACCAGTCATCTGAATCATTTGCTGCATCCTACAATAACTGTTACTGTCAGCAGATTCTTTCAATCTGAACTTCATCTAGAAAATGCATGTTTGTCTGAATCAAATTGGGATGTATAATTTAAGAAATTGGGAAAATCTCAACAGATACCAACAATGCTGATTGTGTGCAAACAGAAACAAAACATATCATATGTACAATAACATGTTAAAAATTACACTTAAAACAGATATGAAATATGTGAAATACACAAGAAATAATTATATTTAAAGCATTTTAATGAGGAGAAAATCTGATTATGTGATTTCTGTTAAATGTTTTGTTCTTTAATTAAATTCTTCAAATTCTTAATATTGTGCTTTTCTTTATTTACACAAACCCATGTTTGATTAGCTGTCAATGCAAATGTTTTATTGGAAATGTGTCCATGTCTATATTCTGTTTTGCATTTATAAATAATTAATACTTAAAAATATATTATTTGTTTTATGTATCAATATTTACTCCTAATGTGCTTGTGCAAACAAAAAAAGTGATTTCTTACAGTCTGTGGTTAATAGACTCTATTTACAGCAAACCCTTTATCCTAAATGATTTTTGGCGCAGTGATATATGAATGTCATGCTCATAATCCAAAATATATTTCAATTAACATTATTTTGTCTGTAACAATAATTTCAAACAGCCAGCCAATTTTATCAGACTCTTGTGGTAAAATGAACTGTATAAGCTGCATATAATAAATAAAAAATGTGTATGTAAAACAACATTGGAAAATAGTTATTGTTCACATATATTTGGTCAGAAGTTTTAGTTTTTGAAGTGATTTTGAAGTACATTTTCAGGTCAGTGTTACAATTTTTTTCTTTGTTATTATTTTTTTTACATGTTGCTCTGTAATTGTAAATATTAAGCTTAATTAAAGCCAAATGATGCTCATTTTTGATTGGAAGTTGCAGTTTCCTTAAACCGTCAGCAGGTGGCAGCGTTTCCTAATTTCTGTTTTTAAAGCCATGACGTTTGATTTCCGGTCGTTTCTTGGGCTGCCAATTTTATTCTCATTTGCTGATGTGATATTGTTTTATTACGTTTTTAATGTTACATTTTCACGTCATAAGGATACAGAAAACCTATAATGGTCAAGTTTTTTAATCGAATTTTTATTTATACAAGAAAGTAGTCAATCATCGATTACCTAAACTTTAAAATACTTGGCCAGGAGGGATCACGGGAGCTAAAATGCCTGGAAATCATTACAGTTATGAGATTATTATCTCTCACGGTAAGTGTGTGTGGTCTTGTTTAACTTAACAATGTTAAAAACACCAAATCTGCAGAAGGACAATAACATACTGACAGTCATGTCGCCTTCAGGCCTTTCAGACGCACTCACCCAAACAGAAGGTAAAGTCTAGAAGGGATACAGCTGTGGATATGCATCACTTTTGTGACACTGTTACCGTGGGTTGTTAAATGGGTAATTAAATAAATAATATAAATAATACTCGATTTAATTACATTTTTTTACATTACTGTGATGATTGGGGTAAGGTAGGCCTTAATAAAACATAATTTAATGTGGAATTTAATAAATAATATAATAATTCTTATTAACTTATGGTTGTAGGATTCAATATGTTCTCAGTAATGTGACGTGTGTTGTTGTTGCCATGGTGTGGTTTAGGAATGAAACCCCATATAAGGCAGCTTTACCAGTCTATCGCTGTCCTGTTCAATACACACCACTTTAACATCCACTGTAAAATCCTGAACAAACAGCTGGAGAGGAAAGAATGTCTTATTGGTCTCCAAAATCACACATTACTCCAGTCCTGACCTTAATGTTCATGTAAACAGCTTTCAGATATTTTCTATTGAATGATTTTTTTTTTTTATGAAAAAAATGCAATTGATTTAGTCTTTCCAAGATGTGATGCACTTAATGATAAGGATTTACATATATATATACCATTTCAATGCAGTGATGTCTTTGACCCATCCTGCTTGTTGTCAAACTATTTCATAACTGTAACAAGAGGCAATTCAATGATAGCTTTATGTTAAAACACCAGCCATAGGATTATTTATCAATATTTTGACTTTTTTAGATTCTCAGAAGCTATGGAAATTAAAAAGGTTAAGCAGGAAATATGTTAGGACCATTGTTATTGTTTACATTCCTCAAAATGATAGTCTATACAGTGCAGTTGAAGTCAAAATTAGGGCTGCATGATATTGGAAAAATCTGACATTGCGATATTTAATTTTGCTAAGATTTATATTGTGATATAAATGCAATTTTGGCTGATGACTTGAATAGCTCTATTTGGGTTGAAATCATTAACTTGGGTTTGTAGAGGAGTGAATCAAAGAAATTACAAAAATAAAAAAAATAAGATAAAAGTGAAATAAGTAGTCAGATATTCAGGTACAGTAAAACGATATGATATTATTGTAATATTTTGCCCCAGATAATGATAGATCAAAAGAAAACCCTCCACAATATATCATTAATTCATTCATTTTCTTGTCAGCTTAGTTCCTTTATTATACTGGGGTCGCCACAGCGAAATGAACCACCAACTTATCCAGCAATTTCTACGCAGCGGATGCCCTTCCAGCCACAACCCATCTCTGGGAAAACAATATATCATGATATTTGTAAATGAAGAGGACAATGCATCAAAAAGTTATAAGATGTATTTAATTTATTAACAGCATTTATAGCATTCACTTATTAACATACATGTATTTTCCTACTTTTGAATAATCAAATGTAATGTTAAATGTAAACACTGTGCATTCTTCATTGCTGATCAACAGTAATAATCCCAACTCCACTTAGCAGATGCTGCGATGTGACTTTTGCGAATGCACACATTGCGATATCGATGCTGAATCGATATATTGTAAATGTCTAGCCAAACTTATTAGTCCTACTGTGATTATTTTTCTCAAATACTGTATATACTAAGAAAAGATTTTTAACACATTTTAAAACATGATAGATTTAATATCAAATTTCTAATAACCAATTTCTTTTATCTTTGCAATACAGTACATAATATTATACTAGATATTTTGCAAGATACTAGTATTCATTTTAAAGTGCTATTTAAAAGTTTAATAAGGTTAAACTTTAGTCTTGTTTTAAGAAATAATATGCCATAATTAAGTGATTTTTTTCTTAAAACAAGCAAAATAATCTGCCAATGGGGTAAGCTAAATAATCTTATGCCAAGAGGAAAAACAATATCAATATTTTGCTTACCCCATTGGCAGAATAATTTGCTTGTTTTAAGGAAAAAACTTTGACATATTATTTCTGAAAACAAGACAATATGTTTTGCTTGTCCGGGAAATTCTTCTTGATTTAAGAAGTTTTAGATATTTGGACTAGAAACAAGCATTTTTTTGCAGTGTAAGAACAAATTGGACCACCTGAAGCAGCTTGAGGAGCTGTATAAACCAGACCAGAGGGAAAGCCTTACAGATAGTTCAGTACTCCACTTATTCTCTTTATTATGAATTTGAAAAGCCTGCTGGTAGACGATACAGCAAAAACAAATATTTTTAAGAAATGTCTTATACTGTCTGCTATTATTATATTGAACAAATGACCATGCAGAAGTTTGTATGTTATTCTGTGACACAGTAAATCTGTCAACATAGGCTCATTCTGAAAACAACCCTATATACATTTCTGGAGATCACGACTTATGTGGCCAGAAGTACGTATGACTGAATTTAGTCTTTAAAACGAACGCTACAGGGCGATATGACACCACTCCTTTTTATGCTACCAGCTGATCGCTCACCTCCATGTGAACGGCTTTTCTGCTGTTACCAGTTTGACCAGTAGCTCGCCATGTCTGTTGGCGGACTTGAGATGCAGAGAGGAGTTTATCGCAACAACGGGGTTTGAGTCTGGCGAAGATAGGTTCCAGAAAGACAAAAACAGAAGCCAAAAAATATTTAAACAAATCAATAACAGGGTGAGAATGTGGAAATGTTAGCGACGTCACTGTTTTTGAACCGCAGCGAGCTGAAAGGAATACTTCACATAATCGGTATGCGAAAGCATAACGCAAAGAGGTGTTTACCACATCATGGCTCAAAATAAGTCATTAGCCAATCTAGGGCCTCGACGTCTTCAGCCCCACCTAGCCCTTATGCTAATCCGGCCGTGGGTATTACAGTTAATACAGTTATTAATAAGTCAACAGTTTATTTCTTGCTCATGTTATAAATTGCGTTAATTAATAGAACATTATTGTAAGGAATTTTTAATATAATGATTGTTTATTTATTTGTTTATTTGTTTGTTTGAATGTAAGTATTATTATAATATATTTTTTTATTCTCAAAATAAAAATTCTCTAAATGTGTAATTATTTTGTAAATCATTAAATTATATTTATGGGTCAATTGATCTTTTGAAAACACTATCGGTTGGGTTTAGGGAAGGTGGAGGGTGGGTCTGTCGTTCAGTCAGTCAGTCAGTCAGTCAACAGCGGCCTCTGGTTGATTTACACGAGAATAGCAGGTGTGAATGTCACTCGAGAGAGAAATTTGAGATCTGAAAAATCGTACACAGCAGTCTTTGGTGGATTAACGAAAAGAAAAACTGCAAAAAAAAAAAAAGTACCTCCTGGGATATATTTGGTGCTCTCCAGAAATGTATATAGGGGTACGTTTTCAGAATGAGCCTGCGTTGGAATCTGTTTCATAGCC